CCCAGATCGGACATGGTATTTTAAAATAATTAAATCTAAAGATAACGTGATTCTACTGAGGGGTGATGAGAATACAATGGACCGATTATGTTTGAAACCAGAATATTTTAAGAAGAATCTTATCAAAGAAACCGTTTGCTAATAATCAGAAAGTGACAGCAGAAACGTTTCTAAAGAATGAGAAAAGAAGGTTTGAAGAATTTAACAATCACAAGGAATATGAAATGGAAATGAAGTACACGCCAATAAATGTATTTGAAATGTTTTTGCAAATGGATAGAAGAACAAAATAAGTGTAAGGGGGTAAGAAGTACTGACATTTTTTAAAAAAAGCAGAAAGATAGCGTGGAGAGAATAGACAGTGTATTAGATTTAATACATAGTCAATATAAAAATGTGTCTTAAAATTGTCGAATAAAGTTACAAGAATTCGACTTGGCAGAATTTACCAACGTTGTATGTGAGAAGAGTTTCAGCAAATTCTATAATAAAATCCAACAAGAATGTTAATTTTTGAAAGAAATAATAACATTCGCAGATATCTAAATAAGAGAAGTAAGCCAAATTATAGAAGTCTGTTGAAGGGAGGTGCATGCATTATCGTTTACTTGCAAGTTTAGCCATAGGAGTAACGACTTGTCTCCTGCTAATCCCATGTTAGGTAAATAATAATTAATCGCCAAATGTCATTACATGAAGGTGAAAAGATACGAAATAAAGTAAAAAAAAAAAAATCGAAGACAGAAAGATAGACAGAAACACATTTAGAAGTGACAGAAACAGACCGAGATAGAATATATCTCATGTCATTTCAAATCAGCCATGCATCTGACTTCTTTGATAGTCGGGTATGAAATTAACTGCAATGAATATCGAGGAATGATTATAGATAGATAGATAGATAGATAGATAGATAGATAGATAGATAGATAGATATTTCTGTTTGATACTCCTACGAATTTATATTTGCTAGCTTTTGTTTCGTACCCGAAACGTAAATAACAGTATTTTTTGAAAGGATATTTTTAATCCGACATTACTTCTTATTACTATGAAAACTTTATTTTCAGTGTTTACACGTGTTTGAGTTGACGTTTCTGTTTATTTATATATTTTTTTTTATTCATTTTATTGAACACTAAATTAATAACAACGAACTTAAATTGAGATGTCCTACTAAAGAAAAACTTTGCCTGCGACAAGAATCGAATTCCAATCATTTTTAACCTTAGGGAACTAACTTACTAAGCGGAAGCGTGCATATAAAAGTTCGCTCACGAAGCCAGACTGACAAGGTAAAGTCAGATTAAACTGGTTAGAATATGAATTCTGCCTCTGTCAGTTTGGCTCCCTGATCGAACTGGCATGTGCACGCTTCCGCTTAGTAAATTATTTCTCTAAGGTTCAAAAGGCATGAAAGTTCGATTCCTTTCTCCGGCAAAGTTTTTCTTTAAATAGATAGATAGATAGATAGATAGATAGATAGATAGATAGATACATAGGGAGAAAGAGGAGAGCAGGAAATCTTATGGCTGATGAAAATAAAGAAAAAATATGTTTTACATTGTTAGACTTAATTACTATTTTGAATAGAGCTTCAAAAAACGAAAATAAGAAAAGGAAAAATAAAAATTCAATTTATTTTAGCATTTAATAAGGAAAATTTGATTACTGTAAAATTAGGTTAAATACTAGCTGATCAGAGATTTAAGACCTTAACTAAATGAAGTCCTAAACAGAGTAGGAAATGCCCAACAAAACATGTCTGTAGTGAGTTGCACGGCGACATTCTGAATAACTTCAAATTTTCGATTTGCCATGGTCGATATAAGCGTCTGCAGAAGGCTGGCTGAAATGTTGTTCCAAGTCGTGACTATGGCTTCACGAAGATCATGCACTGTTTTGAATTTGACGCCCATTTCGATAGAAATTCTCTTGCCATCCACCCCCAGACATTTTCATTAGGGTTCTGGTCGGGCAAACATGCTGGATGGCCCAAAATAATCACGTTAATTGCTTTGAAAAAGTTCTTTCTCCTGCGGCCATTATGAATTATTGTCTTGCTGAAAAATCCAACCATTTCTACTGAAGCGAGGACTTTCAGTCAATACGGATACTGTCTCCAACACCACAGTAACTAGCCGCTGTTTTCCGCCCTTGTATAACCTGAATCTCCTTTGTTCTTTGGAAGAAGATAGCACCCCAGATCATGATGGAACCTTCTCCACTTAGTCGTCTAGAAAATGTTTCTAGTGAGATAGCCTTATCGTGCCAGTAATATTGAAAGCCATTTGGAACATCCAGATTAATTTTCTTCTCGTCGGAACCTTCTTCTACTTTTCTATGTCCCATTTTTGGCACTTCTCAGCTAAGTTTAACCGCGCTGTTTTGCGATGTGGAAGGAGGCGTGCACATTGAAGACCTATACGGCGTTTAAAGCCTTTCTCTTGGCGATACCGTCTTATTCTGTTTTAAATACATTTCTGAAATCGTAAGGACCTTAATCTGGTTCGATAATCGACTTGCCACGCAACCCGTCCAATTCGCCTACTTAGCAGAAACAAAATGTCCGTTAGCTGACCACTTGAAATTCTCGTTCCTTTACTTTTAAAATCTTTTGAGAAATTTGCAATAGAAATTTTAATATGTCCAATTTCACCAGAGATGGCGCGTTGCGATATAACTTGTATTTGCAGCTCGACAATCCTGTCAAGTTCAAATACTGTCAAGCATTTAGCCTTTGCCATGTTTTTATCTAATGTAAACGCAGGAGATGCCAGTGGGAGATGTTGACTGTGATAATTCTTGGAGACAAATGATTAAATTGTGTTTATAAATTAAAGCTTCACTTAAATATGTCCTTAAACTTTTGATCAGCTAGTATTTAATTTCCCAGTGTTCAATTTTTTCCTATTAAATGCTAAAAACCTTTTTAATTTTTCTTTACTTCATTTTTCGAAGTTCTACGCAAATAAGGCTATTTATTAAGCGTAGCCCAGATGTGGCGCAAGGCCGAAAGTATGGAGCATCTAGTGAGGATCGAACTCACTTTTCAGTCGTAACTGATCTAACGAGACAAGCTTGGTAACCATTACACTACGTCAAGGATCCCGAAGTTCTACGCAAATAAGTGGTTGAATCTAACAACGCAAAAGGTATATTTTTCTTTATTTTCATTGGCCTTAAGATTTTGGCCATCAGTGTAGTTATGAACTGAATGGAATTGCCGGATATTTAGATCTTATAGGTAGGCTCATAAAAATATATCGACATATATATATAAGCCCACACAAAAATATAATGAAGCAAATATAATGAGATAGCAATAGATAAAGTCTATATTATCTTCTGCCTTTTATCCGGGCCACTTCACTTATTTAAATACACACCTAATTTTCCTTGATCGTAATATTGCTATTTCCAGAATTATTTCCTTTCCTTCTTTCTATATTCCTCTTTTTTTCACTCAATATTTTATAGAGTTGGTGTCTGTTTCATCGTTATTTCTCTCTCTGCCCCCCTCACTCTCTCTTTTGTTCCCCTTCTCTCCCACTGTCTGATTTTTTCCCTTTTACTTACCAATTGCTACTCAGCGTCGTCCTCTTCCCCCTTGCCCTATTTTTATTTTATGAATTCCCAGTATCCCCTGCACGGAACGAAGTAATACGCCCACTTAATGTCCGTTATATAACAGCAAATTTTCTTCGATTACCTAACGCTTTATCGGAAAAGCAAAATCGCTCCGGGAGCTTCAAATAAATCGAAAATAAATCGATCTGGAATCAAATCAAACAAAAAAGGTAAACGGTTAAGTAAAACGGTAAATGCTACGTTTGGTTGGAAAATATCTCCAATAGCGGTAAACAAATTCGAAATCAATCTTTCAGAAGAATGTTTATCACTGAGAAGCAATCAGTCAGTGTGTCTTACACACGGTGTATTTCTTATATTTATCCTAAGAAAACAATTCCATAAAAGTAATTTATTTCCCAAAGTCTGGGCTTTCATTTATACAAACATATAATGTAGGACATGTGCAGTGTGACATTCATTTAGCACAGAAAAAATAACTTTTCTTGGCTTATAAAAAACTACAAATTTAAAGAACTTATTATTTCCTTGGATAATACAAGTAGAAAAACCCAAATCAGGCTCCACAAGATATGTAACACTAATAGAAACTAGGTTGGAGTCCATGTATGTTTTATAAAATTAATTTAAAAGTAAAGTGAGTGGTCAGTTTAATTATTTTATTGGTATGGCTTTCCACTTCTATCTCTCAAATTCGGAAAATACAACTCGCCGCTGCCATATTGTTTTTCTCATTACGATAAAATACTTAGCTTCTACTGAATTTGACTATTTCTCCAGGGGATTTGAGGATGGTGCGACAATTACTAGCTCGAAAAGAGAATTCAGTAAGTTAAATTCGTAATATCCACTTTCGTGTAAACACTTTGGGAAATATATGAAACTATCACTTCTCCCTTCCGCCCAACTATGGCAAGATAGACACCGCTCACTAGCCATCTTGGCAACCTTTCTAGAAGGACAATTCCGAATTCAAACCGTATGTATCCTCTGCAAGATGCATACTATAACATAATGGAAAATATTTTGTAGTTCACTATTAATTCCGACTCGGAGTTGCGAACTATTTGATCTTGACTTAGCATTGCTCCACCGTCGTTCCCAATAAATAAACTGACAATCCCGTTGAAAGTTAGGAACCTATCAACAGGAACCTGTTTTATACCCTATAGTCGACAAAAAGTGAGCAAATGAAAGCACCTCCCTTTAGGTATTCAATGTAGAAAAGATTTTCACGCTGATGCCAGTGCGGTGTATTTCACCAGAGAAGAGAGAGTTCCATAAATTTCTATATTTTCCCAGCGATGCCGGTGCTGTGTGTTTTGCCACCAAACCCGAAGTAGCCGGGGGAAGAGTTGGAAATTTACCCATTGGAAATGTGTTTAATTTCGAGCGGAATTTATATCGTTTACGGCCATATAAATTTGAAACACCGGTTCTCTTGCGATCATTGTAGTTAAGCAACATCGACTCTGGTCAGTACCTATATAGGTAACCGCTTGGGAATTCCATGCGCTGCATTCTAGGATGTGTACGGATGATCTAATAGATAACGGCTCCGGATGAGACATTGGAGATCAGAGTTCGAATTCCAGTTGGTTTCGTTACATTCACTTAGGTGCAAATACACTTGGGCGATATGAATCGAAAAGAAACATAATCACCGAAGTGTGTCACATTCCACCAGCGAGGTAGTGTAATAGCCTATTCGTTGCCATGATCTGGGAAAAGGTCTAAGTTCAACCTATGATCTTCGGAGGCTGAGAAGGATTCGTGTAAAAAGACAAGATTTCGAATTCTTTGGAACGTAGACAAATATCTAACAAACTCATGTAAGTATCGAAAAGTTTCAGTAGAATTGCTTTTAAGATCTAAGTAATATCTGTACAGTTTATATTACTATTAGATTATATCGATAAGCTCATCCCAGTATCACATAACGGAGTAGTAGCATTTGTTAGCGTCCAAGCCATCTAGAAATAGTGAACCACAAGACAAAAGCAAAACACAATGAAAGTGTAAAAATATATTTTAAAAATACCAGCAATACATATTTATAAAGAAATTGCATATTTATAGTAAAATAACCAGTAATACATTTTTATAGTACAATTATCAACAATTCATTTAATAGCAAAATGACCAACAATACATTTTAACTGTAGTTAAAGGCATACAAATGCGTTCAGAATATATTTATTTGAAGCCGTAAAATATTGTTCTAAATATTTACATTTCGACATTAAATAACCGGTAGAGGTTGATAAGTCGCTAAACAAAATCAATCAACCATCTCACTAATTACTGTGGTATAATAATAATAATAATACCTCTTCTATTAATATCTATTTAATAGATATTATTATTATAATATATCAGTAAGGAAATCCTGATATCACGCAATAATTATCGTGACATGATAATAATGATACCTCTATTTTTTATGCAACGTGGAAATACTAAAAATGACTTTCACAGTTTCGCAATATATTTTCGGGGAATAACGATAACACCCGATTCTCATACAATACAACCACTCCCCATTTAATGACTGGGTTCCGCTTCAACTAAATAGTCGTTAAGTGAGACGTTATAGCTAAACTATATTTCAGGGATACTATGCATGCAACGGGTTTGTGTCGATCAGCTTTGGTTAGCTTTAATATCACTTATGTACCATTTGTAATATTTATTTCTAAATGTTTATACGCTACACTACTGTACTGAAGAGGAAACGTAATAAACAAATTTGGAAAACCAGTTCTCAGTTCTGTACATTATACCGTTTCAGTACAGTAAATACAGTACAAGAATTTTTGTTCACTTTATTTATTCATTTCCTTTGATTCAATTTAAAAAAAAAAAGACAAAACAATCTTATGAATTTCGTACGACGTAAAATACCACATGGTTTGATTTTTATTTATTATTATATCAAATTTTATAACTGGACGTAAATCTGAGTGGTCGCTAATTCGTTAAGTGAGGAATAAGTGTATACAAGGTTCGGCTAACAAGTTCATAGGCCGACCAATATATGTATCTAGGTGGCTCAATTAATTCAGTATACATAAAGTTTAAATGATTTTTTTTTATATATAAAAAACTTCTTGAAGCTTTCATTTTAGCTCTACTTGAAAGCTAAAAGATCTCAAATTTATAATTCCAGTAAGCAAATAGTAGTGTATTTCAAATAGAAATTATATTGATAGAAATCGATTTTTTTCATTAAAATCGATCAAAATAGCCAATTTTGACACATTTGTAAATAAAGGTTAATCCACGGTTGTAAAAATCGTGCATCTTTCTGAAACCTTATTTGACGAAAACTAGCAAATATAACGTTAAATTAATCTGATTTGAAACAAATATTACATACTTATAGCATAAAAGGCTATATACAAACATTTCTTAACTACGCTGTCTTGTTTTTCTAAAGTGTTAATCTATTTATTTACATTCGATTGACAGCCAAACGTGTTTTTAGTTAAGTATGGTGAAGCAGACAATATTTGTTTTCGTCGTAAGAGGGGACAACACTTAAAACACGTTACCTAGATGCTAGATTTATCAGTTTCCATATCCATACTTCAGAAATTCTGCACGTAATCACCCATACAAAAAAAAATCGAAATTCTTTTTAAAATATTCGGAGTTCTCAGATTGTAATGTTTTACAATATATAATTAGTAAATATAGTTTCACCTTATAACAATATTTCCTAGGAATTATCTCATTGAAAATAAATTTTAGAAGATTTAAAAACTTTATAAATTATTCAATTTAAAATTGTAAAAAAAATCAAAACAAATCTTTATAAAAATTCATTTTTCGTCGATTTTCTTCTTCAAACAATAATGTCTTTAATATATATTATTCGTATAAGCAATTGTGAGCTTCTCTATTTAAAAATGTCTTAGTTTTATTGCATTTTGGTTTCGATTTAGAACATATTTTCGGTAACACCAGGTCCGATTTTACAGAAGAAATTGAAACACATGTAAAAAAAAAGATTTTACCAAGACTTTCTAATAAAAATAAGATTTTACCAAGATTTTCTAATAAATAATTTCAAAAATAATTTAATTCATTCATGAATACGTACTGAACATTTGATTAAAATCTGACAATTATGTGATTTTTTGCAAGAATATCCAAATTATTGTGCATGTCACCGCAAAAAAGAGGCGAAATTTCGCTATGCCAAAAGTTAGTGTTGTACTAACTTTTGGCATAGCGAAATTTCGCTGACGAAAAAAAAACATGTTTTTATCAAATTTTCGAATGTTATAAAAAAGAGTGAAAAAATTAGTTAAATATTCAAAAAATGCGTTGATCTTTCCTCTTAATAACAACGATTTTGACGATAAAACTCTTTTCGTTACATTTGAAGCATATTTCCATCACTGTTGATTTGTTAGCGTTTTCGTGGAGGTACCTATATAAATATATATAAATGGACACATCAGTGCTAAACTAAAAGACATGCAATTGTACCAGAATAGAACGACTGGTTTCTACTTGCATTTATATTTTGGTCAGCCAACGAAATGTTTAGCCAACCCTCTTATACCGTCCGTATAGCGATGACGACTATACTCATAATTTCAGATAATAATATTCATCAAAGAAGAAATTTGATAACTTATCTCGGAATTTCACACTATTTGTATATAATAATTGTTGTCATTTAGAAATGAAATAACAATCATTCCTTTTTTTAATATCACAAAACTACTAAGTCCATTTTCCTCATTACACGTACTTCATTGATAAGTAATTCAAATTTACTTTCGCTTGGATGCCTTAGCACATAATCTTTTATCCAATCAAATCTCGAAATCGGTATGTACGCCTCAGGTAATACTCTTCTTCTTGCATGCTTTTATTAACTGCAACAGCAAACACAACATTGAATTGATTATATCTTTTAATTGTTAGTCTCAACCTTTCTTAAAAGCCTTTTATAACAATAGAGATATAACAACTATCTCATTCATACTATTATACGCATGGAATCGATTCTCAAGTCAATCAGTAAATTCAATAATACAAGTTAGCAGTCAATCAACAAACCTGCGCCCTTTCCCTATTTACCCTACCTTTTACATTCGCCTATCTAAAGTTGCGTGTAAGTTATAAATTCGATTGTCCGGTCTGATCAGTTAATCAGAGAGCCAACTTCTTAAATAAACAATTCTAGCCTGAACTTCCACCTTGAATGTCAACGCTAAACCAGTTTCATTCGGAATTCGCCTGAGACGGCCATTCGGAAGTTTTTCGAATTCATTTGAACTATTTTATCAATGAAATTTGCAAAAGGTTTATAGATGGAGCTTTGTAGAATGCCAACCGCCGACTTCTTCGACGTCACCGACGTTCAGGAACCACCACCAGATGGCGTAGTTTTGTTTAATTTTATTTTGGGAATTCATTAAACGTTTTTTTCTACATTTGACTTCGGTTCATTAGATTTTAAAATATCATTATAATACAAATAGAGACGTTTCTTTTTCTTTCTTTTTAAACAATATCGTTAGAATAAAAGAACTTAGACAAATCTCTTAACTCTATAAAATGACACTGAATTTTTCAATTCAATGCCACGTTTTTCTTTCTCTGTATTTTAACATTACTCCCTTCAATCTTGTTACGTTTGCAGAAAATTAATCGGCGTTCAGGATTAAGACATTAGATTAAATATTTGCTTGTGAGAAATTTATTTAAATTCTATTTTTTGTAACTTGTGAAATCTAAATTTCTTTAATTTAACGCAGTTAAAAAATTACGTTGGTTTAAAAGATTGATTTGATATTTAATGATTCAAAGAAGTAGAGAGAATTTAATATATTGATGAGGCTGTCAGAAATTGGATAAAAATGAACGCCAGTAGAAGGAATGATTCATTCTGTGTAAATATCAAGAATTAATTACTTTACAGTTCGACATTTGCACTGAGTTTTTGATATCATCGTGTCAAAGGTAAGATCGGGGTTAGTTTAGAATTTGGTATTTATGGAGTACGTGAGATTGATTCGGGTTTAGGCCTTTCCTAAATACATGTGATTAAAAAAGTGTGAAGTGTACTAGAATGAATGAAGTAGAAATAGAGAAACAAAAATAAAGAGATAGAAGGAGGAAAGTATTAGGAAAGTGATAGGGAGAGATGGAAAGAAAGAGAGAAATACCTTAGGGTTTTGTGTCATTTTACAGGCGGATCAGAACAATGTTTATATTCTGATGACGATCAATTTTATTTTATGTTTATATTTTGAATTCCTTAACCGAAATCGTGATTAGATTCATTCCACTCTAAGCCCAATACATTTTTGCATGCCATTTAATAGATGTTTCCATTCTTCAAATTCTAGTGAAATGTTCGTGGTTGCTTCGAGCTGTGCTAAAGTAAATATAAAGATTTAATGAATAGAACTTGGTTCTCATTACTGCCGAAATCAATTGCCTTACTTTAATTGTATGTCGATCGCTATTAAAATCGAAGAAATACTATATGTAGTATTG